TCATTATTAAAACGGCGGAGATATGTCGTTTCAGAACGACATATCTTATTTTCGTTATTTAATCGGAGGAGATATGTCGTTTATGAAACGACATATCTTATTTTCGATATTAAAACGGCGGAGATATGTCGTTTCAGAACGACATATATTATTTTCATTATTAAAACGGCGGAGATATGTCGTTTCAGAACGACATATCTTATTTTCGTTATTTAAGCGGCGGAGATATGTCGTTTAAGAAACGATATATCTTATTTTCGATATTAAAACGGCGGAGATATGTCGTTTCAGTACGACATATCTTATTTTCATTATTAAAACGGCGGAGATATGTCGTTTCAGAACAACATATCTTATTTTCATTATTAAAACGGCGGAGATATGTCGTTTCAGAACGACATATCTTATTTTCGATATTAAAACGGCGGAGATATGTCGTTTCAGAACGACATATCTTATTTTCATTATTAAAACGGCGGAGATATGTCGTTTCAGAACGACATATCTTATTTTCGTTATTTAAACGGCGGAGATATGTCGTTTAAGAAACGACATATCTTATTTTCGAAAATTAAAACGGCGGAGATATGTCGTCTCAGAACGACATATATTATTTTCGAAAATTAAAACGGCGGAGATATGTCGTTTCAGAACGACATATCTTATTTTCGATATTAAAACGGCGGAGATATGTCGTTTCAGAACGACATATCTTATTTTCATTATTAAAACAGCGGAGATATGTCGTTTCAGAACGACATATCTTATTTTCGTTATTTAAACGGCGGAGATATGTCGATTCAGAAACGACATATCTTATTTTCGAAATTAACACGGCGGAGATATGTCGTTTCAGAACGGCATATCTTATTTTCGATATTTAAACGGCGGAGATATGTCGTTTCAGAACGACATATCTTATTTTCGATATTAAAACGGCGGAGATATGTCGTTTCAGAACGACATATCTTATTTTCGTTATTTAAACGGCGGAGATATGTCGTTTCAGAACGGCATATCTTATTTTCATTATTAAAACGGCGGAGATATGTCGTTTCAGAACAACATATCTTATTTTCATTATTAAAACGGCGGAGATATGTCGTTTCAGAACGACATATCTTATTTTCGATATTAAAACGGCAGAGATATGTCGTTTCAGAACGACATATCTTATTTTCATTATTAAAACGGCGGAGATATGTCGTTTCAGAACGACATATCTTATTTTCGATATTCAAACGGCGGAGATATGTCGTTTCAGAACGACATATCTTATTTTCATTATTAAAACGGCGGAGATATGTCGTTTCAGAACGACATATCTTATTTTCGTTATTTAAACGGTGGAGATATGTCGATTCAGAAACGACATATCTTACTTTCGAAAATTAAAACGGCGGAGACATGTCGTTTCAGAACGACATATCTTATTTTCATTATTAAAACTGCGGAGATATGTCGTTTCAGAACAACATATATTATTTTCATTATTAAAACGGCGGAGATATGTCGTTTCAGAACGACATATCTTATTTTCGATAATAAAACGGCGGAGATATGTCGTTTCAGAACGACATATCTTATTTTCATTATTAAAACGGCGGAGATATGTCGTTACAGAACGACATATCTTATTTTCGATATTAAAACGGCGGAGATATGTCGTTTCAGAACGACATATCTTATTTTCGATATTAAAACGGCGGAGATATGTCGTTTCAGAACGACATATCTTATTTTCATTATTAAAACGGCGGAGACATGTCGTTTCAGAACGACATATCTTATTTTCATTATTAAAACGGCGGAGATATGTCGTTTCAGAACGACATATCTTATTTTCGTTATTTAAACGGCTGAGATATGTCGTTTAAGAAACGACATATCTTATTTTCGATATTAAAACGGCGGAGATATGTCGTTTCAGAACGACATATCTTATTTTCGAAAATTAAAACGGCGGAGATATGTCGTTTCAGAACGACATATCTTATTTTCGATATTAAAACGGCGGAGATATGTCGTTTCAGAACGACATATCTTATTTTTGATAATAAAGCGGCGGAGATATGTCGTTTCAGAACGACATATCTTATTTTCATTATTAAAACGGCGGAGATATGTCGTTTCAGAACGACATATCTTATTTTCGATATTAAAACGGCGGAGATATGTCGTTTCAGAACGACATATCTTATTTTCGATATTAAAACGGCGGAGATATGTCGTTTCAGAACGACATATCTTATTTTCATTATTAAAACGGCGGAGATATGTCGTTTCAGAACGACATATCTTATTTTCATTATTAAAACGGCGGAGATATGTCGTTTCAGAACGACATATCTTATTTTCGTTATTTAAACGGCGGAGATATGTCGATTCAGAAACGACATATCTTATTTTCGAAAATTAAAACGGCGGAGATATGTCGTTTCAGAACGACATATCTTATTTTCGATATTAAAACGGCGGAGATATGTCGTTTCAGAACGACATATCTTATTTTCGTTATTTAAACGGCGGAGATATGTCGTTTAAGAAACGACATATCTTATTTTCGAAAATTAAAACGGCGGAGATATGTCGTTTCAGAACGACATATCTTATTTTCGATATTAAAACGGCGGAGATATGTCGTTTCAGAACGACATATCTTATTTTCGATATTAAAACGGCGGAGATATGTCGTTCCAGAAACGACATATCTTATTTTTGAAAATTAAAACAGCGGAGATATGTCGTTTCAGAACGACATATCTTATTTTCGATATTAAAACGGCGGAGATATGTCGTTTCAGAACGACATATCTTATTTTCGATATTAAAACGGCGGAGATATGTCGTTTCAGAACGACATATCTTATTTTCATTATTAAAACGGCGGAGATATGTCGTTTCAGAACGACATATCTTATTTTCGATATTAAAACGGCGGAGATATGTCGTTTCAGAACGACATATCTTTTTTTCATTATTAAAACGGCGGAGATATGTCGTTTCAGAACGACATATCCTATTTTCATTATTAAAACGGCGGAGATATGTCGTTTCAGAACGACATATCTTATTTTCGATATTAAAACGGCGGAGATATGTCGTTTCAGAACGACATATCTTATTTTCATTATTAAAACGGCGGAGATATGTCGTTTCAGAACGACATATCTTATTTTCGATATTAAAACGGCGGAGATATGTCGTTTCAGAACGACATATCTTATTGTCGATATTAAAACGGCGGAGATATGTCGTTTCAGAACGACATATCTTATTTTCATTATTAAAACGGTGGAGATATGTCGTTTCAGAACGACATATCTTATTTTCATTATTAAAACGGCGGAGATATGTCGTTTCAGAACGACATATCTTATTTTCGTTATTTAAACGGCGGAGATATGTCGTTTCAGAACGACATATCTTATTTTCGATATTAAAACGGCGGAGATATGTCGTTTCAGAACGACATATCTTATTTTCGTTATTTAAACGGCGGAGATATGTCGATTCAGAAACGACATATCTTATTTTCTATATTAAAACGGCGGAGATATGTCGTTTCAGAACGACATATCTTATTTTCGATATTAAAACGGCGGAGATATGTCGTTTCAGAACGACATATCTTATTTTCATTATTAAAACGGCGGAGATATGTCGTTTCAGAACGACATATCTTATTTTCGATATTAAAACGGCGGAGATATGTCGTTTCAGAACGACATATCTTATTTTCGATATTAAAACGGCGGAGATATGTCGTTTCAGAACGACATATCTTATTTTCGATATTAAAACGGCGGAGATATGTCGTTTCAGAACGACATATCTTATTTTCATTATTAAAACGGCGGAGATATGTCGTTTCAGAACGACATATCTTATTTTCGAAAATTAAAACGGCGGAGATACGTCGTTTAAGAAACGACATATCTTATTTTCGATATTAAAACGGTGGAGATATGTCGTTTCAGAACGACATATCTTATTTTCGATATTAAAACGGCGGAGATATGTCGTTTCAGAAGGACATATCTTATTTTCGATATTAAAACGGCGAAGATATGTCGTTTCAGAACGACATATCTTATTTTCATTATTAAAACGGCGGAGATATGTCGTTTCAGAATGACATATCTTATTTTCGATATTAAAACGGCGTAGATATGTCGTTTCAGAACGACATATCTTATTTTCGTTATTTAAACGGCGGAGATATGTCGTTTAAGAAACGACATATCTTATTTTCGAAAATCAAAATGGCGGAGATATGTCGTTTCAGAACGACATATCTTATTTTCGAAAATTAAAACGGCGGAGATATGTCGTTTCAGAACGACATATCTTATTTTATATTAAAACGGCGGAGATATGTCGTTTCAGAACGACATATCTTATTTTCGATATTAAAACGTTGGAGATATGTCGTTTCAGAACGACATATCTTATTTTCGATATTAAAACGGCGGAGATATGTCGTTTCAGAACGACATATCTTATTTTCATTATTAAAACGGCGGAGATATGTCGTTTCAGAACGACATATCTTATTTCGTTATTAAAACGGCGGAGATATGTCGTTTCAGAACGACATATCTTATTTTCGAAAATTAAAACGGCGGAGATATATCGTTTCAGAACGACATATCTTATTTTCGTTATTAAAACGGCGGAGATATGTCGTTTCAGAACGACATATGTTATTTTCCAAAATTAAAACGGCGGAGATATTTCGTTTCAGATAACAGATGCGCATTGAGCTGCCACTTAAAAATACTAAATTTGCCCAGTGCCTCTTATAGGTCGAAGCTTCCACCTGCGATGTGTAAACGGCACTTTTAATTACGCGCCACATGGCCTATCGATAACAGATGCGCATTGAGCTGCAACTTAAAAATACTAAATTTGCCCAGTGCCTCTTATAGGTGATGTGTAAACGGCCTATCGTAAACATGGCCTATCGATAACAGATGCGCAGTCAGCTGTCACTCAAAACGTGCTAAATTTGCCACAGCGCGTTAAATTGGTCGAAAGTCCCGCATGTGCCAAATGAAAACAATAAATTCAAAATTGCGAATAAATACATTATTATGAGGAGATGACTTCAGTGCTAAGTGAAGTACTTTGTCGCGTTTGCCTGAAGCAGGATGAGCTGATGGTGGACATCTACGAGCACGTAGAAGAGCAGCAAACGGATCTGTGTACCCTACTAGAGCGCTGTGGTGACATTAAAGTGAGTATTCGAAGCATAATCTATACAAGTGTATTTAATAGTTTTTTTAAGGTCGATAAACGGGATGCATATCCAAAGTATTTGTGCCAAGAATGCACAAAAGAGCTGCTGATCTCGGCCAAGTTTCGCGAGAAATGTGCAGCCACGGAACAGGCGCTTAAACAAAGAACGTTGGAACGTTTAAAGGACGAAGCGCCAGCTTCTGCTATTACCGTCTTGGCTGGCGAGGAGCTGGTGGTGGACGATTATGAGGAGGACACAATGAATGCGGATGACATTATTACATTCGATCCCAGCGAGCATGTGGAATTATACGAAGAATGCGAGACGGAAGTGCCAGACGAAAAAGTAGCGACAACTTTGGATAACGCACCTGAAGGTCTTCCATCCAATGCCCATTACAACTGTGATGATTGCGGCGCTGTTTTCCAGCAGGCAGCCACGCTGCAGCGGCACATTGGAAAGGCACATCCCGCAGCAGACATCCACGATTGCCCTCAATGTGGTCATAGCTTTACTCAGAAAAGCAATTTGGAAGCGCACAGTTGCACCGGATCGGATGTGCCGGTCGAGAGTATGCGAGCGCAGCGGGCACACCATCGTTGCGTCCACTGCGGCAAGTGGCTGCAATCTGCCTCGAGTCTGGTCATGCATCTTCGCCTGCACAATGGCGAAAGGCCCTTTGTCTGCGACGTTTGCCCAAAGACTTTCAAAACTAATGGCGCACTGGTAGCCCACCAGAAAAGACACCTAAAGCTGGTGGAGTTTGAGTGCGCATACTGTGGCAAGGGTTTTGTAGAGTCAAGCAATCTGCGTCGACACGTTGCCTCGTTGCATACGTCGGAACGGCCACACACTTGCACCATCTGCCAGCGAACCTTCTCCCGCGTCTATCTGCTTGAGATGCACAAGCGCACCCACACGGGTGAGCGGCCATATGCATGTTCTCTCTGCGATCGCAGCTTTGTCCAGTTGAGTGTGCTGCGCACTCATGAGCGCATCCATACTGGCGAGCGGCGACAACGTTGCGACCTCTGCCAGAAGACCTTCAGCCGGATGATCCAGCTAAAGAAACATCAACTCAAGTCCTGCCTACGTGCGGGCACACAAACAACCGAAGAAGTTGTGTCGTAGCTACTAGCAGGAGGCATCAGAAGTTGTAGCATTAAGGTCCTCGATTCTTGTATATAAATAAGGCAGGTTTACCTATGTGCTCGATAGGTTATCTTACTAGGTTAAATAATATAGAGCCTATTGTGAACTTTGCTAACAAAGTTTTTTGGATGTCTTGCCAGTGCACATCGGGAAATACACTTGTGAATGGTTAACAGCATACGTTTTTCAGAAAGGATCTTTGATTTCAAGGCTGAGTTCCACCATGCGGTAAACTTCAGCGAACCCAGATATGCGAAAAACCTATTGCGGACTATCTTATAAATCCGTTTAGGTACAGCAAGATGCTAAATAAGCTCGTAAATACTGACTTAGGAGTTGCTTAATATAGCTTATGTTATTTCCATAACGACTATCTTTCGGAATAGAGTTCTTAAATGGAAAACTTTTCTTGGAATACCTTAAACAAAACCAGCAACATTTGCGAGAAGCATTTATAATGTGTTGACCAAATTAGCTCATAAACACAAAGCTAGGCTTAGATAAGTAGTTATTACTTATCCTTAAATATTATTTTAAATAAAAGTAGTAATATCTCTCAAAGAAACATTCTCCGACTAGGACTTGAAACACAAATACATGAGTGTATATTTGATTTTTTTATTGCATGCACATAAGTTAAGGTATGTTCTCTTTGTCGTAATGGGTTTACATTTGCTGCTGTTATTATTAGTCTACAAGTTACAACAGATTACATAATTACACAAATGCTTGTTATGTGCCATATAATTGGCGACATTAGTAAGTATTTTTATATTTGAACTTTGTATACATATATATAGTATATATGTATAGATGATTTGCAATTTCAAAAATTACATAAATAACATGCATAAGTTTTGAGGGCACAAATTCTTTGATTTGAAAAATTTCAATTTTGTACATAAATACATATTGTTAATGATTTCAGGGGTTTTTCTTATGTTTTAAATAGTTTGATTCACATGCAGCTTATATATATATTTATGTATATAATATGAGAAATATATGCATATCCATATTTAAGTACATTTAAGCTGTTGACCTATAAGTACATATTTTATTTGATTTCTCAATAAACGAGCTTTGCATAAATGTAATAATGAATACTTATTATTATGGTAATTTACTCAATTAGCTGGCTTTACGAGTGCTGGCAAATTTCAATCCAATTATGGCGCGAATCTCTTTGGGTTCGTTTTAGCTTTTCCATTTAGAGAAACTTTTGCTTCCTTTTATTTTATTTTAGCGGCGGCGGGTTCACTACACTCAATCATCCTCTGCTGTTTCTGGTTAGGTAATGCTAGATTGTAATGGTATCGGGGTCGTTATTGGTATCGGGCGGGCTATCGGGATACTTAGTCTACAAGAGCGTCGCCTCTGCCAAAAATGTAATCAATAGAAAAGTGATTATCATTCGTTCTGCTTATGGGAGGGTATTCAGTCACAAAGATTAATAGCTAGTGTGGTTAAAAGGGGTGAGCAAAAGAGAGGTAAGAAATAGTGCGCTGGCTCCAGTCCGGTATTCCATTACACCGCTGCACTGTGCTCCGAGCGGCGAAAATACTTACGTGCCTGCACATTCAGGTCGTCGAGCAACAGCTCGTTTGATGACTTGGAGCGCTTAGGAAAGATGAGAGCATTACGCAGCGGTGTGACATGCGCCACATTGGAGCGCGGCTTGGGCGGCGGTGCGGGTGGTGCGCGCTTCTGCTTGTAGGAGACGCGCTTTAGCTGGCGCACAAACGACTGGCTGAGCGTAGATCCCCGATTAAAATCCGGCTCCGTATTGAGCTGCGGCTGTGCGGCGTACTTGTGCAGCTTTGTTGGAGTCGAAGCCGGCGGCGAAGGCTGCAGCTGCTGCTCCGAGTGCGTTTTGTTAAGCGGATGCTTGGCAATTGCTGCCGCCGCCGTTGTTGACGAGTTGCCCTTAAAGCGGTCAAAGAGATTGTTGAACGTGCTAGAGCGCTGTTGCAGCGGCGGCGCCGGCGCTGGGTATTTCTGTAACGGATGACTATGCTTGGGTGTGCGGCCAGCGCCGACTGTCGTGGGTGTGGTGGAGGCCGTTTGCGCTCGGCTGGCAAACACATCGTCATCCAGCTCGCTCAGGCTGACCAGCATGTGCTCATCGTCAAATAGGTCATCTGTGTTGGTGTTGTCGTTGGTGTAGGTGTGACTCGTGTCCTGCTGCGTGTTGCACTCCCCCTCCAGCTCCTCGCCGTCGTCATCGTAATGCGCAAATATTTCATCAAAGGCCGCATTTACAATGTAAGTCTCGTCCTGCAGCTCCTCCTCGCTGGACTGTTGCAGGCTGCTGCGTGCCCGCCGCTGAGACACCAAGGTGCCAAAAAGATTCTTGCGATAGTCGTCAGCAATGCCGCCATAAGGCTGCCGCAGCTGCTCCGTTGAGTGTGCCCCTGTGGGTGCTGGCCGTGGCAGCGTGGCCAATTGATTGGCCAGGCTTTGGGTGCTGCAGCTGTTGATGAGCTTGCCAGGTGCGGGTGCGCTTAGTATGCAGTGGCCATGATGATGTTGTGACTGTGACTGTGTTTGTGCCTGTGCCAGTGCCAGTGACTGTGTTTGTGCCTGCAGCTTTTGCTTCTGTCGGTGCATTTGTTGCAGACGCTGACGCAGATCCTGCGACTTGCGCTTCACCTGGTTGTATTTGCTTTGGCTTTGGCTGTTGCTGTTGCTGTTGCTGATGTTGTTGTTGTTACTCGTGCGCAGCTCATACTTACTCTGCTCCCGATCCTGCTCGGCCTCAGCCAGGCGGCGCTGCAACGCCAGTGTTTCGAAGGTGTGCACAACACTGCCCACGTGTGTGTTGATCTCGGGTATGCCCAGGTCGCCGCTGAACATGTCGCGCTGATGGCGTTGCTGTGTGGATAACAGCTCACCGCCGCCTCCGGCCACACTGCTTGCCCGTTTGCCCAGCGCCTGACCATGCCCATGGACATGGGCGTGACCGTGGGCGTGGCAATGGCGTATGGGCGGCACCGGGCAGCGGGGCGCAGCACAGGGAAACTGCTCAATGAATTCGGTAGCTTCCTGCTGCCAGAGCAGATTGCCAAGCTCATCGTGGGCGCTGGCGCTGGCCAAAGTGGACGACTGTGTATGGGAGGGGTGTTGTATGTTGTTGTTGTATGTTTTGTTGTTGTTGTTGTTGTTGTTGTTGTGTACGAGTTGTTGGCAGTTAATTCAAGCAAATTGTTATAGAAATAAATAAATAAACATCTGATTAGCTAAGGCTGCGAGAGAGACAGATAGGGAGACAGAAATAGAGAGAGGTGGAGAGCGGGATTGTGCGACTGACCGACTACGTCGGAAAATTAGATATTTGGTGAGTCATGGGCAGGGGCAGTAAATTAGGAAGGTCGTTTCTTAACTTCTAAGTATATCTTAAGGTCCTAAGCTTATTATTATATAGATATTTTGACCACATTTAACAATAAATGACTTTTGGCTTATAAAACCTACAACACTTGAATGCAAATATCATTAATTTTGTAATTACTTGTATATTCGAACTTATGGCTTATATATATTTCCGTAGTTTTTGGTATTTCAACTACAGTCTAATTTAATTAGGTAAACTATTCAATTATTCAATAATTATTTTATGCTAAATCCATTTAAATGTTTTGTGGCTTTTCACGAAAAGTTCAATAAAACAACAACACAAACAGCTGCCATTAGCAGAGCAGCATCGATTAGAAATATGAGTGTGTGTATGTGTCTCTGAGTGAATTTGTGTGGGAGTGCATGTCGCTGGTCGCGCACAAAAGTATGCAAAGTTTTTGGCATGTTGCGTATACGCCATGTTGCAAATTGTTTCGGACAGTGACAACCCGATTGTAATACCATTAAAAGTGTTGGTATGCGTGTGTGTAAATGTTTTTATATGTGTGCGCGTGGGTGTGTCTGTGTGTTTGTGTGTGTGTAAGTGCGTTGACACATTAAGATGGCTGTTGGTGTGCGTTTTAGACATACGACTTTGTGATTTGGGCAACGACAACATTCTACAACTAAGATAGCAATACGTGAGTGTGTATGTGTGTGGGTGAGTAGCTGTGTGTGCATTTGCATTTTTAATAATAGTTATTATCAAACGGCAAGCTATCGCTGGAGCTAGAATAGTGTTGCTGTTGCGGCTGCTGTGGCAACAACTGATTGTTGCTAGTGCGTTTATTGTGCTGCTGCTTGTTGCTGTTGCTGCTGCACTTTTGCTGCTGCTGTTGTTGCTGCTGCTGCTGCTTGTGTATGGCCTTAAAATCATCTTGAGATTTACTGTTCTTGGAATTGTGTTTGCCCTTGTGACCCTTGCTGTGTTTCGTGTGCTTCAGACTGTGGTGTTGGTGGTGGTGTGTCAGTTGCTGCTGCTGCTGCTGCAGCTGTTGCTGGTGTGGATGACTATGTTGCTGGTAGTGGTGTTCAATGTGCGCTATGTTACTGCTGCTGTGATACTGTGGATGCTGCTGCTGCTGCTGATTAGATGTATCGCTGGCGGTGCCGCTGCTGCCATAGCTATAGATCTGCGACTTTGACTGGCTGCGATGCGGATGTGCGTGCAGATTGGCCACGCTATAATGGTCGGGATCAATACTGTCAAAGGTCTGCAGATAGTGCGGATTTATTTGCGTGCAGTAGTCACCGCCAGCATTAGCTTCAGTGTGTGGATGTGACATGTGCTTGCGATCGAGTGTGTTGTTGGGGCGTGGGTTAAAGTGTTGCAGATGTGTCATGTTGTAACTGAGATGTTGATAATGTGAATTGTCGTGTTGTGGTTGTTGCTGATGCTGTTTGGCACCGTTTTTCATTGGCAACGGCGGCGGTTGCTGCTGTTGCTGCTGACCAATTGGCGATCTTCTGTTTGTGTTGCTGTTCGATTTAAAACTATTGTTGCCACTTTGCAGAGTAAGGTTGTTGCTGCTGTTGTTGCTGTTGTTGTTGCTGTTGCCGGCGTCGCTCTTCGTTTTGATGGCTATAAACGTGTTAGGCAACGGTGGCAAGGGTGGTGTGCCTGTGGGCGTAGTTATGGTGGTTGCCGACGATGAGCATGTGGTGGTTGTTGTTGCTGTTGCTGTGTTGTTGATGTTGGTGGTGCTGGCCACATTAAGTTCCCGCTACGCGATGTGATGCCCGCCAAATGTGCGCAGCACTGGCACGCTCTGATTGTGTTGTTGGTATAGGTGGTGGTGGTGGTGGTTAACACATAGCAATTGTTGTGGTTGTTGTTGTGTCAAAGTTAGCAGTATATGGTGTGCGTGTGTGGTTTGTTGTTGGGCGCATTTGTTGTGGTTGTTATCGGAAAATGAAATTTCAGAGAAGAGACGAAAAAAGGAAAAGAGTAGACACTTATCATAAGTTGTGTATGAGATATATATATATATATATATTGCTTATATGTAGAGTGTGCGTATGTGTGTGTGTGTGTGATTGTGTGTGTGTGTGTGTGTGTGTGTGTGTGTGTGTGTGTGTGTGTGTGTGTGTGTGTGTGTGTGTGTGTGTGTGTGTGGGTGTGTGTGTGTTTACTTCTGCTTAACAACGTGGTGGGTCAGTAATTTGGGTGTGTGTGCCTTGATATGTCCGCGGCCGTGTTAGAGCTGGTGTCGTATTAATAAATATACACTATATTTTATATGCATATAAAACTAATCGCTCAAACGAATACAAGTGCTTAAAAGAAGATTGAAACTAAGGTAAGGAAAACAAAAGAAAAAAATTAATGTTGATTAGTTCGTTTAGTTCTACTTATATATTTACATTCATTTGCATAACATATATTACAAGCGATTTATAAATATACGATTACGATTGGTGTACTACTTGGTATAGCAAAAGTTCGGCTACCTAACTATTCAGATATTTTAGATAAATTCCAAACGAAGCCAAGTGAAATTTCATGCATCGATGCCGCTGCTGCTCGCTGCACTTTGTGGCAGCATAAAGTAGCGTGTAAGACTGGGTTAATTCAGGCAGGCGGCAGGCAAGATAGCGTTTGCAGCCAATGTGCTGCAAATTAAGCAAGCAAAAAAAAAAAGGAAAAAAAGAACAGCCTGCGAAAAAGCTAATTAGCCGCGACAGTTTGGAAAAAAGTGAGTGTAAGTTTTAATAAGAAACTGAGCTGTGGCACGCTAATGCGCACCAAAGTAAGTAGGCGTGGCCAAACTTGTTAGGTTACCAAAAGTTGCCACATTAAAGTTGCAACTGAGGGTCGCCTGCTTCCTGCGGGTGCGAATAGGAGTGTGTGTGTATGTGCGATTGCGCGGGCTTCGTAAATTTCACATTTAAATTTAAAAAGTTTGCAGACACTTTGTGCAACTGCCAGAGCCACTGCTAGTGCCACTGCAACTGCACTCTTTATGTACAGTCAATAACAAATGGCGGTGAAACACACGCACATACACATATACATACAATACTCGCATACGCACACTCGGTAAGTAAACATGCGCGGCAAAGAAACTTTTATTCATTCACTCAATGCATGCTCAAAGGCACTTGAGCTCGACTTGGCTGCGATGGGTGTGGCACTTGACTGAATTTCTCTGCTGAACATAAAAGTTGACAAGCGTTGACATAATTTTACACGCAATGACAAGCCGAAGTAGCAGCAGGATGCGGCGTCTTCAAGTGCTGCAGGCAAATAGACGCGAAAGTAAGTGCCACATCCACAAGCTCCAGCCTCGAGTGCATTCGGTAAAGTGCTGCATTTTCTGCATTATTTACCAACAACAAAAAAGTAATAGACTAGCCACATAATTGCACCTAGTGTCTTGTGTCTCGTCACTAATGATGGATTATTGGTAGTTAACAGCCGCAGCACATTCCTTAGCTGCCTCTGCTAACTGCTGTTGGTCTGTGTGCTAGCCAGTCAAATGGCAGCGACAATGCGGCAGCAGTTGCACAGTCTAGAGATAGACACAGAGAGGAGGAGAGAGAGAGAAAGATAATGCGAGGAGGAGAGAGAAAAGGGTGCACTTCATTGAAGACAGCAGCAGCAGTTGCAAATACTCTTAGATTATCAATGGCTTTAGGGCAGCTGCGGGGCTGGGTGCCACAGCGCGGCACTGGTTTGCCGGCAACATCATCAACAGCGGGATGTGAGTGTCGCTTAACGTGGCAGGCGGCAGGCGGCAGGTGGCAGGCATCAAGGCAGCAGGAAGTTCAACTGGGTGCCACAAAAATTTTAAGACTTTGTAAACAAAACTTTGCGCTGTGCACTTTGCTGCTGGCGCGAAACGAAACGAAAAACACCAGGCGACGATGCGCAGGACCTCTTACGACAACAACACGAATAAAGAGAAAGAATATATATATATATATATAGTGTGAGAGAGAGAGAGAGGGAGCTAGATATTTATATACGTATTTAATTGTGTATATTCGCTAGCTAGCGGAACCAAGGTTCATCCTGACCGTTGCTAGTCAGCAGCTGCACAAAAGTTTTCCGCACGGCAAATGCTTGTTGCACTGGTACTTGCACCAAAACTTACTACATGTGGCAGCGGGGCATGACTACGCTGCTCTGCATACAATAACAAGGCTTCCATCAATTGTCCAGCGGATGTTTGCCACAGCACTAGTCGTCGTCGTCCTCGTTGCTTCCGCCGCGTTCGTCTATGTAGATCCGGCTGGCAGCGTCACGCCCATATGCCGATCAAAGCTAACTGCACTTCAGCAATAGCTTCTATCTTGCAACACGCCACAAAAAGAAGAAAACTGCTTTGTAAATATTACGCTGTGGCCCCTGCCCCGTAACCCCCCTCACAAGTCGAAGCGTTGTGCATTTTGCATTTCATTTGAAGAAAATGCTGCAAGTTTCCAACTTGCCCCCAATATGCCCTTCCCGCGCATTGTTGTTGCTGCTGTTGCTGCTGCTGCTAGTTTTGTGTACAATTGTAATAACTATCTCAGCGAGTGTTTGAAATGCGTTTACCGAAAACTTTTACAGCTGCCAGCGCAAGAATGTTTATACTTTTGCATTTTTGTGTGTGCGACTTTTAGCGTATAAAATGCGCCAAGTCGTGGAGAAAACGGGCGAGGCATAAGGGGCAGCCAGCACGTACTTATGTAAGTTGTAAATAAATAGTAAATAGTTGCATTTGCGCAACGTGCCAGCCGCAGCAACAGACACAGTTGCTCTGTGCGCAAGTTATATTTAAATGCGCGCACAAAAGTATGCAACACTTTGTGCACACCTGTGCCTCCAAACACTGCGCATATGGCCCATGGACAAAAAAAAATGCAATTAACAAAATGTCAGCAGAGACTGTGATAAAAATATTGCAATTATAAATTCCCGACTGCGGAATACACTGTGCACGCTCTATTGTATTGAAATCACCGCGTATTAATTGAGAAAAGGGGGCAGCAATAAAAAAAAATCAGGAAGCAAACATTAACAGTTAGCTTTTTAACTGTGGCCTACTTATTGTGACCGAAAAACGGTGGCTTTAAGACCCAATAAGGTTTAGAAGTGTGATTTACTGAGACGATAGCTTGGGGGGACATAAAATCTATGCCCTGTGGGGCACAGCGAATTTTGCAATATACACATAACGTTTTTGTTTTGCCTTGATTTTCTCAGAATATATTTTTTCTGTCAAATTAAGAAACTTGCTCTGAAAGAGGAGATATACAGTTCTATACAAATCTGCATTAAGTGTACTTTGTTAAAGATTCTGCACGATCCAGGGGAAATGAATTTTTGGGAAATTAAAAATTTTTTAAATACGGCCCTTCACCAACACTTTTTTTTTTGTAAATCCACAGTTAGCATTTAGACTAGGATCTCGGCAGGAAGTGCACCTCAGTTCGATTTGTTCTAGGAAAACTACTGAAGATTACTTTATACAGCTGTGCATGCAAATGTAAATACTCCAAGAGGTTTTTATAATTGCACAAGTATTAATAGGCTGTGGCTTATACAGGAATAAGAACCAAAGTTTCCAGCTCAAACTTTAATAACCTAAAGAGAATATATAGTGAATTTGAAAGACATATGGCAATGTGTACTGCACAAAACTAATATACTCTTTTTACAGCTGGGCACAGTGCATAATAAGTGGTTATTGGCTTTGGTTGTAGATTTCCCACAGCATTCATATGGGCTGGCAGCAATCAGCAGAAAGCAAATCACAATAAATTAAGTGGGTCGAAAGGCTTTTCGGCCCAGCAGGCTGTATATTTGAATTTGTGCGTTTGGGGCTATCATGTGCTCGTGCTTAAATTAAATGATTAACCAGGTTATTTACGGCACGCGCCTTGGGCCAACATAAGTCGGCCAGCTGGCCACAAAAACAAATGCCACTATTTCCCGTCTAGAGGGGTGTATGGGTATGTGGTATGTGGCTGTGGTGTGGGTGTGCACACCTGCGCTAGTTGTTGTATGTTGCACAAATAACGCGGCCAACACAACGTGAGGCACGCCTCACGCGCCGTCGGTTCAAGGACAAGCGGAAACGGAAGTACAGCTTGCGGTGCTGTGCAGTGGCCGTTGTTTTTAATCCGCGGTTGCTGTTCTTGCTGTTGTTCAGCACGTAAATTGACGTGTCCAGAGCGACGGTCAATTGCTTTACTCAAACAGAGGACACTCCGGCGGCGACGGCGCTTGTTTTGTTTGCTGATTGCGCAAATATTTGCGCAGGCATTAAAAGCGGAATTGATGGTCAGACAAGGTGAGGGTCAGGGCAGCAGAAAGGGCAGCGGACGCAATATAAATTTAAATATTAACGCCGACTTAACGTCAATGAGTCTGTGGGTTTTTTTGTTTCAATCACTCCGCTGACTTCTTGACCGCCGCCGCGGCCCAAACGTTTGCCTTAATGCTAACAGCCTCGTTACTTTTTATTGCACGCACAGCCCGATTGGCGGGCGGTGGACATGGGCGTGGCAGAACTGCTCCGGGTTTTCTGTGTAGTCATTACGAACCACCAAAAATAAGAAAAGAAAAGGTACGAAAATTGTGATTATGAACACAAATTTGCGCTTAAATTGTGGGCTAAAGCCGATGCGGGTGCAGTGTAATAAGGGGCGAGGCTTTGGCGCACTTTTATTAAAAAGCGCAAAGTCATTAAATTTTATTACAAGTTAAATTTTTCAATAAGGCAGAAACA